GAAAAATGTTTACAATCCAATAAAAATTGTTACCTGGAATAATGGAAGTGGATCGATTAAGTTTTTGTATGTATATATTATACGTATAATGGTTTCACTCTCATATTTCATCCTCTCCATTTTCTACCTATGGGTAGTATAATAATAGACGTATAATTGTGATACACATGGTAGTTAAGATTTTAATTAGTGGAAAAGTTTTATGCGTTCTATCACTTTCTTCAATATCCAATAATAAAAATATAGTAAAAATACAATTCTTTTATAAAATAAAAGTTATGGCTTTTAATTTTATACAGTTTAAAACGCGTCTTTTATTGTTTTCAGTTAATTGGCCAATTAAGGAAATCTAAGTTCGTGGGACAGCTTTAATGGCTACGTTCTCTTTCGCTGTTACGTGGATAATTACCGTGTTCATTATTAGAAAGTAGAGCGTAAAGAGAAACAGTGAAAAATAGATGAATCCCATTGTCACTTTGTCATTCTATGCTGCGCAGACAAAAAGAATACGGGGAAAATGATGCCGTCGTTACATTATTCTTTAAATCATTTCTCTTCACGTCCCTTTACTCGATAAAGTTTATATTAAAGAGATAAATGAATCTTTTCATAAAAACTATTTAAGTAATAGAAACTGCTTTAGAATGAATAACAAGTATGTATAATAGAATTTACCCAATCGCCACCGAGGAATTGGCACGCGAAATTTTCACTCACTTTCGTGTTTTCTCAGATAATAAACTTTTGCATATTACATAGAAATTCATTCTAAAATTACAGAATTTTCCTCATTTATTTCCTTAATATGAAAATGCCAAGATTTATATTTCTATGAAAATAGTTGCCGTTTTCTTCTCGCAATTATCGGTTCAAACGTCTTCGTCATTCACTCTAAGTGATTGCTCGACGATCCATTTCCCTACTCGACTGCAAATCTTCTCTGGCAGGATGTCCTTTAGAATTGACTGAACCGAAAACGAATTTCCAAGAAGACTAATCCGATGTTGTCCACAAGGCGGCTTTTGTGTCTGGCAGAATTTGTCGTAGGAGGTATCTCCAAAACCTCGGGAAATCAAAGCAACGAGAGTGAGAGAGACTACGAACGCGGAAAGCTCAACTTTTTCCGATGTATGCGTTTATGAGCGCATTTTCTTTGATGCGGGTCCCTCGTGACTCTAATCTGTTGAAGTACGCTAGCTAGTAGCTAGATCTACATATACACCAACTGCGGCTGCGGACTTGTCAGAACGGGAGATTGCCGTAAAGGCTTTCGGTGTTCACGGTTCGCCGATAACGAGTTTGAATGTTCTGGGGCCTGAAGTTAATCGTTTATCAGGTGAACTGTGAACGACCCCCGTGTGGCCGCGAGAACATTCCCGGCATATTTGATTTTGCACGGGACGAGACGTATCGTCTTCCTCCGAAGCGCTGCTCCACGTAATCAATTGTATGCCCTGGTAAAATGAAAACGACAAAGGGAATAACTAAGTGAGTCAACTGCTCCGGCGGCGCAGCAGAAAGCTTCCTTTGATTAACGAAGTTGAGCCGCCCCGTCGCTTCGATAAGTGATAATGTTGAAAGCTTCCTATACGTAGGAAAGCTCGTTGCGAGACACATTGAAAATAAAAAATATAAACCCTGCTTATTTAACGCGATATTGGTACAGAAAAGTTCGATTATCGATGAGGAAACGAAATTGCAGCTACGGATAAGGAAAGGGAATAGCAAAGAATGAGATTCAAATAAGATGTCAACGGATACCGTCCTTGATTGAATATATCACGATTGATGGATAGATATCGTCGGCGTAATCGGCGAACGAAAGAAGGGAATTCGATCGAAGGTGAAAATACGATGGAATCTCATCGAAAAAGGTTGCTGCTTTTATAACGACATAATTAACAGGAAAAAGGGGTCTTTTTCCTTTTTTATACCCAATATTTCCGCGGTTTTCATTATCCGATGTCTGTGATCTGACATAGTTATAATTATCTATTGGACCAATAATATTGTAGGTAGAATAATTAAATTATATATTCAATTGTGATACAGATTCGGATAAATAAGCGATATTATGCAGTCAGCTTTTAATCATGCGTGTTAATAAATCTGTGAAAAGAAAATTGAAGATCGGTTGACTTGCAGTTGTTGAAACTTGCATCTGATGCCCTGCAGGCTTCAAGTCTTTTCCATAGAGGGGAATAAACTCTGTAGCTACGTTTTTCAACGTTTTCACCGGCACGGTATTTTTCTTCCTTTAAAAGAAGCTCTGTAAATAGGGTTCAGCTTTCATTTCATCGTTTCGTGATATTACTGGAGAATTACTCGACGAACGCCACTTGCGTTATTGTAATTCATCCGTAAACGTATTGAAATTAAAACGGTTCACGGAATGTAGGCCATCTTAATGTTTTTCCGTGGGTGGTTGTTACAAAAAGTATAGAATACGTAATACATAGCTAAAGTTTCAAACAGGATTTATTACGAAATAAATAAGGAATCTGTTTTGTTTTGAAAAATAAATGAAAATGTTGAACTACTTCTTGACCATGTCATGTTGATTATAAAATAAATTGGTTTACTGTACATGACAAACAGATTACCAATTATTAAGTTCTTGCAAAACTTCAAACATGTGTCACTATTTTAATTTATAGTCAGAATCATCTTAATAGACTTTAACAAATTAACAAACGATTATTTGAGTATATAATTCTCGTATAATATTATTAATTTCTAACTAGACTTTAGAAATCTGGTAAAACTGGTAAATAAAAATCAACCTCGTTTGATGAATTTACAGTTATAAGGGAGTACGTCGAGCGATGTTCGTCAAATACGTTAACGTTATCGAAAAAATAGTATTGTTGGGTGTCGCAATAAGCTTTAAAAGCCGCACACGAATAGCAGCTTTTAGCGTGACATGGTTGTTGAAAAGTAGGTGTCAGCCTTGCACGTACATACGTTTTAATGCAAGCGAAATGGAAGGTGCTATGCCACGTGGATGAAATTGAACAGTCCCATGGAAAACATGTTTGCATGAGTTCAGTTGCAATGCTCCTGACATTCTTTCATCATATCGTTAGAACTTGGCACAAAAAAAAAATGAAATAAAAGAAATCGAGTAGCAAATCATTATCAAAAGTCTTATCATTACTGCATTAAATGAATGCATGACAAAATGAAATTACTACTCAAAGATTACTATCGAAATTCATCTGAAACGAATGTGCAAAATAAATGGGAAATACAATCGCAATTTCATCACAAGAATTTAATTTCCCAGCTTACGATCAACTTCAATCGTGACATCTCGATAAAATCTCGCCCATTCGACATTACGTGATCTCCGCCGAGTTCGATGTTACGTAAACGACGTCTCGTTTCGATTATGTTTTATCGTCTACGTATCGTGATACGTATGTAACGGAGGAATACAACGGCGAAACGTGTTGCGATAACGATATCGTCGAATGCCGTTGCATTATTACCGGAAGACATCCAATGAATTTTAATACCCAACGTAATAACGTTTTCGCCCTTCGTAGTGTTTCTCTGTTCTTCTTTAACGTTCGAACTCTTACAGTTTTTGCTTCGATCTCGTTTGTGAACTTGTCATATTTTTATGCGATGTGACGCAGAAAATAATCGACGGATAATAGAATTACTTTGTAACGCCACAACATTCGAACATTTCCACGCGTAAATATAATTTTAATTAGCATATAGCTAGATACGGATTTTAATAAATGGTTTGAAATTATTTTGCTTCATCTGAAACTGTTTCTTATTGGCAATTAGAAAGAAGTTAAAATGAAATTGCTATTTAGCTGCTTGACTTTGCAGGCCGTGTTGTAAATCATGTTTCTCGGTAGAACGTTGAACGCCGCGAGCTATCGAGCGCAATTTAGGGTCTAAACTTCTGTGCGCAATTTATAAAGAACGTTTCGCCGTAATATCTTTATTACTTCTGTATAGTTACCAAAGAAATATGGCTGGAGGACATCGAAAGAAATTTTAACGTATGAAATTTAATTTCAAAATTTATTACACGTGCCCATGGCAATTAAGCATGTAATAAAGTGCGTAATAACTTAGGGAAGAAATTTCTATTGCCAGTCTATTCATGTATGATTAGACTTTCAAAGAGAGATAATTAATCAAAAGGTTTTATGAGTAGGAATAGAAGAAAAATTACTATTTTAAATTAAGTAAACTAGAAAATCTCATAATTATGTTAAGGGTGTTAGACATATAAAGATTTCAAAGAACCAAGACTTCGTATTTCCCCTTTTCTCGATTAGAATTAGATTATCCAATGAAAAATATCCCCCAAATAGAAATTTAACCACTACCTACGTAAGCTGTTTTAAGCTCTTTATCACGAAGTTTCATTACAAGTTTCCAATTATGTTGCATTACAGTTCATAAAGATTATCGTAATATTAATTAAAACTTTTCCCAATCATGCCATCTAGATTATTCAGTGATTATCAGCGCACTATAAAATGATATATATTATTATTAAGATCCTCCATCTAAAATTCAATTTGATCACCCCTGTAAAAGCTTGATACACAATTTGGAATCGTTTGTGGTCAATCCCGTTTCGACAAAATCGTTGCAAGCTTCTGAATGGAAAATCCAAAACCAGACCTCCGTAAACGAACCGCCTTTTGCCTAAGGGATTAAGTTTAATAGCGAGATCCCCCGGGCTTCGTGAACGTACATAAAACCGCTGTGCCCCGTTATCCGATGCGGAATGGCCTTAAACTATCGTTCGACGAAACTTGTACTGACGGAAATTCCAGCTTGGCGAAATTTCAAGTGCATTTTTGGGATTTCCACGATGCTCGGGTAAAATAGTCGCGGCTGATTTCAGTTATCCTTTCCTATGATTTTCTACCAGACTCATGAATTAATAGTGGTTGTTGATAATTTTTATTATCATTAATGTTTGCGTAATGATTTAGGACAGTCGCATGTTTTTTATGTTTCAGGCCGAAATATGGAGCGTGTTCATCGCTATCTTAAGGAAGAGCGTGCGAAACTTACAAGCGTGTACGGACGTAGGCCTCATCGAACACGTACTTCTTCGATTGTCCCGAGCCGAGACCGTTGTCGCTGGTACGTAGTACACACTATGAACGATACTATCAGACGATTGTTATCACGCCATTCGAATACAGTACAACAGTTTATACAACTATATTCCTTTATTCAATAGATCTATTGATCGACATGCTTGGAGTATTGGCCAGTTACAGTATCACAGTGAAAGAGCTGAAGCTTTTATTCGGTGCTATGAAAGCTGTAAAAGGAAAATGGGTAAGGAAACTTTCATTCCAACCATTCAGGACTTAATGAAACATTACTACAAGTGTTTTACTCATATGTATGTTGAATGTATATACATTCTGATTAATGCCATAGCCACGACATTCGGCGAAACTGTTAAACGTTCTCCGTCAGATGCCACAGCGGAATGGACCAGACGTGTTTTTCAGTTTCCCCGGTAGAAAAGGATCGGTAAGTCAATTTTCATCCATTCTCTTCCGGTTATTCTCTCTTCGGCTTTCGGAATATTCCTGTTACGAGCCCCATCCAAGATGCCATTCGATTCTGAACTCTATTAAACTTTAGATAAGAAAATTCGCCTTGTTTCATGGAACTTCTACTTTCACATTTAATCCGTCGAATCAAATGACGTATTGATTCCTCGACGAAGTAAACTCCTCAACGAATGAAGAGCTGAGAATTTATTGAAATTATCGAAAATACTTGAACTTACATCAAGACTAACTTCTTGTTCTTTTTTTTTTATTGTTCAGAGATCATGAAATTTAATCATGCAAAGATATTGTTAGAACGAATTTTGCTGATTGTAAAATTATACTTATTATAATTT